TGGTTCAGCCCCTCGCGCAAAACTCCGGTTTGCGAGCGCAAATTACTGCACGCAAAATTGGATCTTGATAAATCCGGCCCTTAGAAACAGACCAGCAGATCGGAGGCCTTTGGAGGCCCTTTGGCTTTGGTGGAGGTTTGGTTCAAAGCTGATTGGCTGTCGCAGGTGGATGTAGGAGAGCAATTAGTTTCTTCAGTTGAACTTCCACCTAAGCTCCATATTACATATATAAAGACAAGTTTAAATTGTATTTTGTTAATGTATTTTTTGGTTCTGATAAATCTGGTATGTCTAATATGTTCTTCTCTGCCACAGAGTGCATTTGTTGACACTTTGCTGTTTTACTGGATTTGAAAATCAGCAGTTATAATCTCATTAAGGTGAGTGAGATAAATCCATGGGATGGGTTTTAATGAATAAAGTTTTCCTATTAATAAGTTGGTATAATGAAATATTTGTATGTCTGCATTAATAAATCCAGTTAAGCATTTTTGAGTTCATTTCAAATAGATGAAACCAAACTGAATAATTAAAGCAAAATTGACCAAAAATGGTTAAAATTGTCTAATTTTGTTATGTAGAAATCAATTATTTGCATCTGAATTTTTTTAATTATATACAGAACAAAAATCTCTTCAATTGAAATTTGTTGACATAACTTAATTGAATAAACTAATTTTCTTGAATGCAGCCTTTAAAGCTCTGGACCTCACTGGTTCCTACAGATGAAGAAATAAATAATGTTTTGGCATCTGTTCTCCAGCAACAATGCTGCTCTGTGCTTTAGGGATGAAGTTATGTGGAAAATGCATATCTAAAGACTAAAAAACTTTTTCTGTTTAAGGAATAAGAGAAAAGAGGGTTCTAGACTAAACCGCTTTTTTAAGACTGCACCGACTTTGCTGTGATAAAGTCAAGCATGTGCATCAAGAGCAAGGCAATGCAACGGCCGCATGGCTCCTCTTAAATAAATCTGGCATCGCTGCCTAAAACACAATATAGCAACATAATTAATTTGACAAGCTGTTAGAAACAGCTGTTAACAAACTACTTTGAGAAAGGAAAAAAAAATGTTCTGCTACCTATAATTAGACTGAAGCAGTCTAATTGTGTTGCTATAAATCAAAGGAGTCATAAATTTGTCAACTGAAGATTTTGGCCAAAGTTTTTATAAACATCCTTTTACTCATGTAAAGCTAAATAAATGTATGTATCCTGAGATATGGTTAAAAATACAAGTAACTTTTAGGAGAGGAAAAAAAATCACTTATTTTTTTGAAAACTGTATGCAGGTCTTCAAATAAAATGTGGAAAAAATAACCAACCACAAAGATACATTTGAGTTCTAGAAACGACAAAGCCACAACTAAATCACTTTATTGATTTAAAGACCCCTCACTGATACAAGTTAATGAAAACAAATCTTAAGGACTTTCACGTGTAAAATATTATTGATAAACTTAAGCATACAAATTTTATCAACAAAAACATTAAACAAAAAACATAACCCATTTAAAGAAACCGATGAACACACTAACATGAATAAACTGCTATTAGAAAAAATAAGTTTACCTGATAGAAAAATTCTGTCTATCAATGACAGATCAAGAACAACACATTTTAAAAAATCATTGATTAAAAATTTTCCGAACTGAGTTAGTGAATAATGAATGAATAAAGTATTCGATAGAAGTCTGACATTATTGACAAGTATGAAGCCGACTCTGGCTTAATAAATCTGTTTTGTTTATTTTAACCCATATAACTAAATCCCAAATTAAACCACTAAAGCAAGTTGCAAAAACATAAAAGTCTCAGAAGAAAAGTTGCAAACATTAAGAGATTAATTCTTAGCTATTTACATTTTTTTGATGTTGTGATTTACAGACTTTTTCTCAGCCTGTTTTTTCATTGTGAATTCAGCTGATTGTCTTCATCATCTTCTCCTCTTCGCTGTTGATCTGTTTAAAAAATTATAGACAGATGGTTGTTAATTAATTAGGTTTTTTTAAAATAAACTTTTGAAATCCAGTGGAAAATTTCATCAAAGGTTGACCCTAAACATATTACATTTTAAGAATATTTTATTATAATTAACTTACTTTCATGAAATTTTATCCATCTGAAGAGGCGGATGACGTTTCATAAGCTAAAAAGCAAAATAAAATGTAAATTGTTCTATTTGGCTTTAAAATTGTTGCATGAATAACTTAATATTATGAGACAAAGCAGGATGAAAATACGGATTTTTAATACTCACTATTTGCCCGCTTAAATCCTGAAACAAAAAGCATAACATTTATTTACAGTTTTTATAAAAGGAAACAATAAAGTCTTTGCATTTAAATGAATTAAAGCATTAAATCTTGAAATGTAATGCATGCTCAGAAGCACCAACCGATAAAAATAGCTGCCATGAAAAAAAATAGTATGTAAGCAGGTTTTATGATTCACAGAGTATATTTTTGGTTTCTCACCATTATCTCTTTTCTTCCACCAGACGATTCCAGCAATGATGGCAACCAGAACCAGAAGTGCAGCAATAACACCACCAATAATGATCGGAATGGAGTTTCCTGAAAGAAAATCATTCAAATTGATTAAACAGTGTAAGCTGTCACAAGATCCTGGGGAAGAAAATTTTTGAAAAAATGTTTTGAGTGTAAAAAAATATTAAAGCCTTTGAGTAAAAACTGCAGTAAAAATATTACTAGATTTTGATTCCAAATTAGAGTAATACTGCTGTTTAAGCTCTGAATTTTTACTCAGTGATTTGAGTTTATCCAAAAATCAGAAACGCTCCAGAACTACCAATCTAAAATAAGAATTCAGAATCTGACTCTGTTTAGTTTTGTGCACAATAAGAACAGGAGCAGCCAGTTCCTGTACTTCTTTGAAAAAGCTGCTGCAAGGACGACCTGCAGTTTGAGATGTAAGTTACTTTAGTTTCATCTGATATAAAACATGAATGATTTCAGCAAGGAGAAGATTTTTCTTCCATTGTTTTTTTTTTTTAAATGAACACATATTTGCAAAAACAGAGATTCAAATGCATCTACCTGTCTGAGCAGCTGCTCTGTTTTCTGTCTCACTGGTTAAAATGAGAAGGGAGGCTGATCCATATGAGGGACCAACTCTGCCATATTTAAAAATAAATACAGAAATAAATAAATGCTCAATAAATGTATAAGCATACAATTAATTGCCAACAAAAAAGTGAAACATAAATGTATATAACTCTTAATTAGCTTCTTTATTTATTTGCCTTTGTAATATTTACCTTATTTATTTTT